AGTTCAAAGCCAGCCTCAGCAAAAGTGAGGTGCAGGGTTGGAGACATAGCTCAGTTGGTAGAGTGCTTGCCTCGCATGCACAAGGCCTGGGTTCAATCCCCAGCACCAGTGAGACCGTGTCTCTAAATAAAATATAAGGACTGGGGATGTGGCTCAGTGGTTAAACAGCCCTGGGTTCAATCCCTGGTACAAAAAAAAAAAAAAAAAAAAAAATGCACACCACTGTCCCTGAGAGCATGGTGGGGAGGACTCCTCAGCAACGCCTTCAGCCCTCAGCCCTTTGTTTCCCCTTCCCCCTTGACTCCCTCCCCTGCCTTTGAGGCAGTGCCATCCCACTGTAGGATCAACTATCCCCGTCACTGACCTCCTGGTCACCCCTCCATACCTGCCTCATGCACTTCCTACTCTGCGCCCTTCCTACTCCGCGTGGGCACCGTGCCTTTCCCTGTGGACAGGGGTCTCTGAGTCCCATGTCCAGATCTGGGATGTCACAGGGATTCCGGCTCCCATTTCCTGGGTGCCCATGTGCCAGAGGTGATGCCAGGAGCCTTGCTGAACAATGCTGATATTTCTCATGACATTGCCACAAAGAGAGGGAATGGATCATCAGAGAGGTGCAGGGACTTGCCCAGGGGGACAGCAAATGGTAGAGGAAGATTTAACTTTGGTTCCAGCCCACACCCCTCAGCTCCTCGGGAGCTGATCACCAGTTAGACTAAGTGCCTCCATCAGACCCGGGCCCCAGCATCTCTCTCTGGCACAGTCTCCCGTTCCTCTCTGCTACTCTCTTCAGCCCCTCCATTTCCCCCAAGAACTTCCTCCTGAATCTTTCTCTTCTGTCAGAAGAATGCTGCAATCTATCCTGTCTGCAAAATCCTCCATCTCCCTTCCCCAAGCCTTCCCGCCCAACACAGCCAGCCAGCCTGCCTGCGGAAGTGGCCACCTGCTCACCTCCCTGCAGGCTGGATGCTGCCCTCAGCCTCCACTGGCACCCCCCACCAGTGTGTGGCAAGAACTGCAGCCGCTGCGGGATTTGCCCTCCTTGACCTCTGCAGAGCATTAATGTTGGGCTTCCTCTCCAGCCTCCTTTGGCTTCCAGGCCACTGGTTCCCCCTCCTCTGGCCCAGGCCTCTTCTGAATAGCCGGCATTCTACTTTATAAAAGAGGCGAAGAGGCCTGGCCCACTGCCCACACAAGCACTGTTTTGCTGATAGAAAGCTGCTGAACTCCGCAGAGCTGAAATTCCGTATAAATAGGCACATTTACAACTTCCTGTCCATTTAGCTATCCATCATTCTAACAAAGGTAGTGTTAATAACAACTTGCACGTGTAGCGCGGTTCACAGTCCACACAGAGCTCTGGCGTGGCCTTCAATATCCCCATCTGTGTGGTGAAAATATTTTTATGTCTGTTCCATATTAAGCAAGCAGTGTTAAATTCGTTTCACTGCCCAGAAATTAGCATTAGAAATTGGCTTTGTTTTGAAGAAGAGTCTTTACTTAGGTCCTCTGGGCATTGTCAGTCCCCGTGGCTGGTGATTTATAGGTTATTGATCCTTGGGACAGGAACAAATGACCTTGTCATTTTAGTAATGGTGTTTCTACCAGAAAGATCTTTTACCAGAAGATCTGGCAAATCTCTGAGCATGCAGAGGTGGGGAAAGGCAGGTGGAAGTCCAACTGCAGGAATCAAGTCATATGGGTCAGAATAAAAAGATCTAGTTTTTGACACTCTGTGTGAGTTACACTTTCTAAATGAGACTTAGAAGATTTAAGCCAAAATGGCAAGTAGTTGTCTTGTGTACCCGCTCCTTAACTCCTGGGTGTTACTGTGTTAAGGAAGATTCTGAGGCTAAGCCTAGGCTCCCTGGAAAAGAACCCTGTTACAAGATGACAATGTCAGACGCAAGTGTGAAGGAGGACATAGTGGCACGTGCCACATCTTTCTTTGCCATGGCTACTTTAAACTTTTTATTTTTTCAGTGCTTGGGATGGAACCCAGGGCTTTGAGCATACTAGGCAAGCCCCCTAACACTGAGCCACAGCCACAGCCCCTAAGTGTCTTTGAAAGGCAATGACATACCAAACTAGAGTTGTTCAAAGAGTCAGTACAACGGGCAAGAATTCTGTGGCTTTAGTGGGTTCCCACGTATGGACCTTGGACCTTCTTCTGGTCTGGTGCTTTCCTTCAGAGTCATCAAGAAGCCAGAAAGCCACGTGGATGAGGATTTTTGTACACCCCTCAGCTGCCCCCATCTTCTGACCCCCACCAAAGGGGCTGGGCTGTTCATGTTGTGTTTACCCCATAGCTTCTCTGCACCCCCTTGCTCTCCTGCCCCATCCTCGCTGAGCTCAGGTTGAGGAAGCTTTCATCTCCGGGGGTGACCTCCCATGAATCCCCAGCTCCCCCTCAACCCTGCCCCTGACTCCTAACTCCTCTTGTCTTGAACCCTAGAGCTAGGGCCCACTTAGCACGTTGACCTTGGTTGGACTGTGAGTCCCATGAGGTATCAGACTTGCCCCTAACAATGGGGCTTCTTTGCTGCTCCACCATCATGGAGTCAGGAGAGGTACAGAGTCACAGGAGTGTGTCCCTCTGCGGTAGCAGTCCTTCTCATCCAGATAGTCCGTCCCAGAGAAGCAGGTCTTCCCTCACTACTGCACCCCAAATCCAAACCCTTCTACAGTGATCCCTGCCTCCCCTTCACATCTCCACACTTGAGAGTATTGTGTCAGATTCTATTTGCATAAATTTATATTGCTGCCAGAATCAAGGTTGAAAAAAAAAAAAGGTTGTAAATATGGCCCTGAGTGTGCCTCTTACTTCTTCAAGTTTTCCTTTCTGGGATGAGGTACTGCACAAGCCGTTGGAAAGTGCCAGAGCCACAGAAAAACTTACCCTGGAGTGACCCCGGATGAAAACTCACTTTGAAAAAGCATTATTTTTCAAACACAGGTTGATGGATGGGTAGATATGTGATAAGCAACACATGCGTGCCTGAGAGAGAGTCTGGGTGTATGGAAGTTCATTGCATGATCCTTTGCTGAAGGTTTGGAAATTTCCATAGTGAAATGTTAGTGGGGGGTGGTTGCCCCAGACAGTGAACCATTTTAATTTAAACCAGGCTCCTGACCAGTGTGGTCCCGAGGCCAGAGCGTGGGGGAGCTGTGCAGAGATTGCATCCATTCCATCTGGGAAGACTTCCTGTGGGGCTTTCTGCTACCCCGGCCCCAGACCAGTGCTGGCCACACTCTGGTGTGGTGAGGGCAGGGCAGTCCTTAAACCCATGCCCAAGTCCGTGGCCTTGTGCCACTTGCTGTCCCTCCCTATTTGTAACCCTGGAGCAGCAGGGCACTGTGCCCTCCTGTGGCATCCACATCCCATGCCAGCTGCATGCCTCAGCCTCCTCCTGGCCTGGCGTCTTCACAAAGGCCCCGCGTCTTCCCCTCCCAGGGCCCTTGCCATATGCCGCAGCTCTGCTGTGAAATGTGCTGAAGCTCAGAATTGCCTGGGTGAGTGGAGAGGCCGTGCTGCGTGAGAGAGTTGGGAGGCCTGGCCTCTCCAGTCTCCCTGTCCCTTGCAGGTCGTAGACACTACAGGTCACACAGAACCGGGGAAGCAGGGCCAGGAAGTTAAGTAGCCAGTGAAGAGGCTCTGGGGTCAGGTCGTGACCTAGGTTACGGTCACACTCAGTTCACACTGTCTAGTGGTCACAGGGAGGTTCCTGGGAGGATGACAGTGTCCATGTTTTTCTCTGTCCAGCACACACACTGCCACAGTCATCCACTCTCACATCACACACACAGTCTTCTGAGCCATGATGCCCCTGCCCTAGACTCCTGCAGAACTCCAAAGCAATGCCCAACGCCCTGTGGGCAGAGGACAGGGCCACCCCCAACCCCCAGAGAGGGAGAGCCCACTGGCCACAGTAGGCTCTCGTCGTGGCCAGGGCCTGCTCATAGGAGGCGGCAGAGCCTGGAGTTGAAGCCTTGGGCTATAGTGCCACTACTATACGACCTTCAACAAGCTGCTTTGTCTTTCTGCCTCTGTTTCATGGCTCATCAAATGAGGATAAGAAGGACAAAACCTACCTCATCCGGTTATTGTAAGAACCAGCAGAGTTGAAAGCCTGGCAAACGGTTCCTAACCTGAGGTCTTTGGGCACTAGTTAGTGCTGTTGTCTCTGCTCTCAGCGTCTGCTCCTCCTCCTTCCGGGGCTGCAGGTCACAAGGGCCAAAACAAGGAGTCAGCATCTAGGGCTGAGGGAGGACCACTGTGAAGTTTGGTTGTGACTGTAACAAATTAACATTTAGTGACCTGAAGCAACACGGACTGATTTGCTTGAGGTTCTGGGGGTCAGAAGTCTGCAGTCATTGTCATGGGCTGGTCTCAAGGTGTCTGCAGGGCCGCACTCCCTCCCGAGGCTCAGGGAGAATGCACTCCTTGTTTTTCTGGCTTTCTAGAGCAGCATTCTTTGCCTTCCTTGGCTCATGGCCTTTTGTTCTGTGGTCATCCAAGCTAGCCACGGAGCATCTTGCATCTGGTCTCTCACAGCCATCACCTTCTGTAGTTGGACCTCCTTTGCTCTTTCTCATAAGAACATTGCAACTGCATTTAGGGCTGCCTAGACAAAGCAGAGGATTCCTCATCTCAAAACCCTTGATGTAAGCTTATCTGCCAAACTTCATCTCGTATCATTCATAGGTTCTGGAGATTAAGGTGTAGACATATTTGGGGACCATGACTCATATAACAACTGAGTCAGAAAGCTTTCCTGAGTCCTGATCCTGTGGCATGACTTGGTCAAGTTCTAACCCCTCCAGGCCCAGTATGTTATTCCATGTCAGCACCAGGCCCTCTCTGGCTCTCTCTCCTGACACTCTCCACAGGCAGTCTTGTTCTCTGTGGTATCCCTAGGCTGACACATGGCCGGTGCTGGGAAATTATGTATTCCTGCATAAAGAAGGGTAGCCCTGATGTGTCTCATGTGCTCTTTCAGGCCATGGTGAGTGTCACTGCGGAGAATGCAAGTGCCATGCAGGTTACATTGGGGACAATTGTAACTGCTCAACAGACATCAGCACGTGCCAGGCCAAGGATGGGCAGATCTGTAGCAACCGTGGGAACTGCATCTGTGGGCAATGCCAGTGCACAGAGCCCGGAGCCTTTGGGGAGACATGTGAGAAGTGTCCAACCTGCCCAGACGCTTGCAGCACCAAGAGGTAACAGCCCCGCGCTCAGCCCATGCCTGTCTTCCAGCCAGGCAGCCCTCAGGGCCAGCCAGCTGCACTCCCCACTGCCCACAAAACTCTTTCTAATAGTCACTGAAATGGTAGCTTTGAAATGCTGGTTCCATGGGTATATTGTAAGAAGAAGAAAACACACACATACACACACACACACACACACACACACACAAACAATACTGCTATTCTGTTCCTAAGCAAGTTTAAAAATTACTAGATTACCGAGTTGAATGAAATTAAACTGGTGTTGGTACTAAATGCAATGCCTTCTCAGAGCCTTGAGTGCGCTATTGTGTGTTCTCCAAAGGAAATGCGGTATGCATCTTTTCCCAGATGAATTCCATCCTCCCCATTAACATCTCCCAACGCGGTTTCACGAACACCGTATGGGAACTGCTGCTCGAAACAAAACATAATCAGAAGGTAAATGGGATAGAAAGGCACCCGACCTAGATAAGGCATGCCAGAAACAAGCGCAATGGCTGTTGAATTTTCTGCTCCATTTATACTGATAATGGAGCGCCGGCCCTGGGCTCTGTGCTGCTGCCGAATGTAGAAATTCTCTAGATACGACTGGGCCTTCAGTGGCCCGGCCTGGCATGCTGGCCTCCCCGTGGCCCTGCCTTGACCCTACCAGAGTTCGAGGCGGGGAGTCACAGAGCTCAAGCCGTGGTGCTCCCTGGAAAGCAAGAGTGACGTTCGCTCTTGAAACTTGCTGGTGAAGCAGCTGAAAAGCCGGGGTGGGTGAGGGGGTGAAGCAGGGACCCAGACAGATGACAGCAGCAATAACACGGACAGTGTTTCTCTGGCTGGGGAACGCAACTGGGTGGTTTTCTGCTGGCAGAACTCCCTTCCACAGGCCTGGCCCAGGCGGACATGAAGAGTTCATGCTCCCTGGGGCCGCGTGGCTGCTGGTCAGTCTGTGTTTAGAAATGATCTGGTGGCAGGGCCTTGGGCTGGATATTTGCCACAGATAAGCCCAAGTGCGGGTAATTGAAAGCTGGCTGATGGTGGAAAGGCAAGATGGACAGGGCAGGGTCTTATTTTGTTTAATTGGAGGGGTTGGGTGCGTCGGAGAGAGGGAAGCCAGATCCTCTTGAGACCTGCTGAGACTGAAGACACAGAGATCCAGATAGAAACAGACTGGGAAGGAGATTGGTGTCCTGGACTGGAGCCCAAATAGCTGTCCCCACGTGAGCTTGGAGTCACAGCCATCACAGCATGTTGTACCCAAGGGATGTGCCTCCAGCTCCCACTAGCAGAGACCTCAGGAGTGCTGCTCTCAGACCTTGGGGCGTATGAGGTTTATGCAGAGTGGGGGCCAACCCAGGGCATCACACACGACATTAATAAAAAGGAGCCCAAACTTCTACGGAGCCACAGGGCAGTACAGGATTGGCTTGGGTCTATTAAAAGTCCTCAGGGGAAAACAGCCATCGATTTAAATGTTGAAAGTATTTATTACCCAGAAGACATAGACTTGATGATTTATTAGCACCAAAGGGGCAAGGAGAGCAACGATGCCGTAAGGACGCATTACTGTTCCTTTGTCTTTGTCTTTAGACCACACTGATCCTCCGTTCTCTATCACAACCTACTTGCAACTTTAAAATTTTGTTTTTAAACAAAGTTCTTTTGACAGTGACTTATATCAAGCCAGTTCTCTACTTGCTCCTTTGCTGAGGGCCATCAGGCTTTGAATGTCCTACATCCTTTTTTTTTTTCCTGTGGTTTCAGGGCAACCAGTCTCCACCTTCTAAAACTAACCAAACACACCCTTCACTTTGGGTGAGTTCACCCTGGGCGCCAGCTGATTTCAATTAACAGGCTCTGAGCAAAGTTTCTCTCTCGGCAACTTGTTTTTTTAAAAAGCCAGACTTACTTTAATACATAACACAAGTTTCAGCCAGTGTGGGCAACATGAGCTAAACTGATACGTCCACTTGGATAATTAGGGAGTCCTTCCTGGAGGGCACCTGGGGCTGTAGTTTAAGACAGCAGGGCAGAGAGGCCCTATAGATCCCAGCCTGACCAGAAGCAGCCATCCCGTTTGCTGTGGGTTAATCCAGGGCCAGCCAGGCCAACTTGAATGAACAACCCTGGAGCCACCCTGCCTAGCCCCCAGCCAAGCCCCCGCTGCCTGCTGTCTAGGGCTCGGACTGTCAGAAGAAATGCAGGCTTTACGCTCAGGTTCCCAGCTCCAGAATGCTTCTGCACAGTCAGGCCTAGGAGAGTGGGATTTTTGTGAACAATTCCAGGATGATTGAATGCTCAAGCATATCATTACTCTCATTAGAAAGGCTTGGCCACTTTCTCTCCCTGTTCCACTCCTTGCCCATTCCTTAATCATATCGAGGAAGTGGGAGGGGTGTGTCTGAGGCAGGACGCCTGGGTGTGGGGGCCCGCTCTGCCATAAATACCATCTGGGCTTCATGTGCCTCCCCTGCAAGGGGACCTGCTGCAATGACCCACAAGCTCCCATCCTGTTCTCATGTCCCACTTTGCAGCTCCCACACTAGAAGCTTCTCCATCCCCTGGAATTAAAGAGCAGCCAATAGGGGCTTGGGTTGTGGCTCAGTGGTAGAGCGCTTGCCTAGCATGCATGAGGCACTGGGTTCGATCCTCAACACCACATAAAAATAAAATAAAGAGAAGTAAATGAAGGTAAAATAAGATGTTAAAAAAAAAAAAAAAGAGCAGATAATAAAGGCCACGTGCAATCTCTCCACAATCTGCCAAAGGGATCTCCAGACATGTAGCTCCCAGGGTCCCCACAGATCTTGGGGTGAGCAGGATAGTTGTCCCTATGTAGCTGAGGTGCTGTGAGGTCACCCTTCACTCTGGGGCCAACAGCAGTCACAGGGACACAGAGATTTGAGCCCTAACCCAGCTTCCAAAAGCACTCTCCTGGGGGCTCCCACCCGGCTTGAGGACCACCTGCGACCCCTCAGCTGAGTTGTTTGGCCTGACCTTCTCCTCCCTGGAGTTAGCTTCTCCCTGGCCTTTGTGTGCTCTGTGTGGCCCCGCAGCACACCCTCAGAGATAGGACACGCCCACCCCAAGTGTTACACTCCTCGGCAGAAGCCTGCTTCCCAGCCTGCACCTTCAGAGGTCTGGTCTCCTTGAGGTGACCTCAGATGGAGGGAGAATGTCTGAATCAGGTTTTGACTATGTGAAGTGTGGTGACAACCACTCACCTGGGGGCATTGTCATTAAGCGTTTTCACACACTGTCTGATTCAGCTGGTATCTGGGGTGGGAGGAGAGGAATTCATAGGGCCTCTCTTTGGCTTCTCATCCTTCTTCTAAAGAAGCCCCTGTTATACCACGTGGGGTCTCCATAGCCTGGATAGACTCTAAAGTAGACCAATTACCAGGTACGCGTCCAGCAAGGCCCTGGGGAGCCTGGCAGGAGGGCTCCACCTAGGATGGGGAAGGAACTGGAGCCTGAAGGACTCTGAGACAGTGGTTCTCAGCCCTCCATGGGTGCCAGAATTGCCCAGGAAGCCCCAACCTCAGAGATGTGGCTTTTGTGGTGTGGTTGGGTGAGTCCAGTGTGTGGGAGGGGCCTCTTGCTTGAAGCCATCTCCTCAGCCAGGTGTTCGGCATGGCAGGGTGCAGGTGGATTTGGCTCCTGTCATCAGAATTCCAAAGTCTGTTATTGGCAAGGTGACTCCCCAGACCAGACACAACTGTAAGCTGACCTGTGTCCCTCCACGGACCCTGGGGCTGCCCACTAACAGCAGCAAGAAGGCAGAGCAGAGAGTCCCTGAGACTAGACCTCTGAAATTGGGACCAGCTAAGCCTTCAGGTCCTGTGTTTTGGGGAGCTGGGTGGGACCAACACACAGAATCTAACAGCCACATTTATTTCCTCTTTTCCAAAGAGATTGCGTTGAGTGCTTGCTGCTTCACTCAGGGAAACCTGACAATCAGACCTGTCAGCACCTGTGCAAGGATGAGGTGATCACGTGGGTGGACACCATCGGTGAGTGTCAAGGTGGGGACAGGGTGCCGCTGGGGGTCTCTGTAGATCCCTGAAGATTTCCTCCTCTGTGGAGAGGAGGGTGGGCTTAACTCCGAGTTAGGAAGTCCAGCCTAGGCTTCCTTGGCATGACTTCTGGTTCTGCATAGAGACCCTGAGCTGAGTCCCCAAGCCTGTAAGATGGTACAGATGCATTGGGAAATAGCTTGGCAATTGGGAAATAGTTCAGCATTGAATCCCCACACAATCCAGAATTTGACTCCCAGGTCTATACCCAAGAGAACTGGGACTACACACACACCTGCACACAAATGCCCATAGCAACATTAGTCACAGGAGTCAAAACTTGGAAACCACCCGAATGTCCACCCACTAATGAATGGCAAACAAAATGTGTCCTGTCCATGCTGTGGAATCTCATTGGTCATCAAAGGGAGTGAAAAGTTGACGCATGTGACAAGGTGGGTGAGTCTCAAAAACATTAACTAAGTGAAACAATGCCAACAGGAGAAAACATTCCATAATTCTATTTGAAATGTCCCAAAGCGAGAGAGCCTGTGGAGACAGAGTGGAGATCAGGGATGGCCAGGGACTGTGGAGAGGGAGAAATTGGCATTGACTGCTAATATGTATAGATTTCTTTTGGGGATGATGGAAGTGGTCTGGCATTAATGAGAATGGTTATATAACATGGTGAATTTACTAAAAGACTACATACCTGGAAAGTGAATGTGCCCCCAGAGACCTCTTGCTGTAGACCTGCCTCTGCCTTGACTGCAGCTTCTGCAAACTCCCGGCCCCTGCCTCTTGTCTGTCTCAGTCCTGGCTTACCTCTTGTAGACTTCCTTGTTCCCACCTCCCTGATTTTTTTTTTTTTTAATTTTTAGTTGTAGTTGGACACAATACCTTTGTAAAAAATAAAAATTAATTTATTTTTATGTGGTGCTGAGGATTGAACCCTACCACTGAGCCACAACCTCAGCTCACCCACCTCCCTGATTTTGACTGTCTGCTTGGTTAAATGATGGCCTCAGAGAATGTCAGGTCTTGTATTTATTCCACACATATTCCTTGAGCACCTACTTTATGCCAGGTGCTGATGTTATGCCTGAGGGGACAGCAGGGAGCTCACCATAGTGCCTGAGATACCATCTTCCTACCCATCCTCTGACTTGCCACTTGGGGCCTGGTATATGTCACGTTTTGCCTGCAGACCCAGGGCCAGTTCCCCAGAGCCAGACACAAGTGGTCAAAGAAGAAAAGCGGCCTTCTAGCATCTGTTGAAGTGATTATCTTGGTCCGTGCACAGCTGCTTCACAATCCAGCTCTCTGAGGTGAATCAGCAGATACAGTTCATGTTCCAGCTCATCATTTACCCTTTTCCTAGGCTTTTAAAATAAACGTTTGCCCTCATGAATCCCAGGCATTGGAGAAGGGGCTGAGAGAAAAGTCCAGACCTTTGTGTTTGATAACCACACTAATGTATCAGCTCCCATGTTAAAACTCCTTTGATCAACCAGGTTCAAAGGGCAAGAGTGGAAAAGCGTTTCATGTCATAACATTAACCTTGGTTGCTGCTCAGGCCAACCTGTGATTGCTGCCCAATTTCCTTTTCCTTTGTTTCCCTGCTCACCCTTTTTCTCTAGTCCCTTTCCCTCCTAAAGATCAGTCTTGCAGCTGGGCACCAGGGCACATGCCTGTAATCCCAGGGACTCAGGAGGCTGAGGCAGGAGGATCACAAGGGAGAGGCCAGCTGGACAACTTAGCAAGACCCTGCCTCAAAATAAAAACTACAAAGGCCCGGGGATGTGGCTCAGTGGCAGAGCTCTTGCCTAGCATTCAGGAAGCCTTGGGTTTAATCCCAGGTACTAGGGGAAAATAAAATCAGTCTTGTAACCCCAGGGAAGCCACAGAACACCATGCCTAGACAGGGGACGGGGACTCCTTCCCACAGGTCAAAGGCAGCATGGGGCAGGAAGGAAGCAGCTTAACTCTGGGGAGTGAGGCCCGCTGGTATCCAGGCCAGGGCCAGGGAATGGCCCGACCTCCACCACTGGCTCACTTAATCTTTGGATGCGGGGTCACCCAGGGGACCAGCCTTGCATTCAAATATCCTCCTCACCTCTGGAGGTTGTTTTTGGTTTTACATCTCAGGGAAGAGCTGCCTCTTGGCCTCTGTAGCCTGCTTTCAACCCAAGTGGACTGGGGGTTGGAGAGGAAGCGGTCAGGGTGGCTTTTTCTTTTCTTTATCCTCCTAATTTCCATCGACTCCCTTCACCCATTCCCACCCACACCCATTCAAGGCTGCCTTTTTTCACCTCATCCCCAGCAAACACTTCAGAGGGCTGAAGACTCTGATGTGATCCACATGTCGCCAGAGCAATAAAGTCAACTGGGGGCCTGCGATCCCGCTGTGAGACCCCTGAACTCATTGGAAAGCCTGCCACCCCTCTCAGCCCCTCTGTCTCCTCTTCCTTCTCCGAGGTGCCCGCTCCCCGCCCTGACCACCAGCAGCTCTGGGCTGCCCAGAGACAGGCTCAGGACATTCTGTTTGCTTTTCTTCTAGTCAAAGATGACCAGGAGGCTGTGCTTTGCTTCTATAAAACTGCCAAGGACTGCATCATGACGTTCAGCTACGCAGACCTGCCCAGTGGGAAGACCAACCTGACGGTGCTGAGGGAGCCAGGTAGGTGGGAGCCCAGCCCCTGGGTCCAGGTGTCTGATGCTGTTCCCTGCTCTGGGGCTGTGGCCCATTCCCTCCCCAGCACCCCCCTCACCATCCTTCCCAAACCCAGGAATACAGTTCACTGTGAAGATCAGGATCTAAGGCCACCGTTGTCCGATTCCTAGGGTTTAGAAGAAAGATGGGTCCACAGCTGGGGGCCTGGGATGAGGGCAGAGCTGTGGGGGCAACAGGAGCCACAGTAGGGCAGGACATGCCCCTCGGGAATGTCATCTCGGCAGAGGCAGAGAGCTAATAAGGAAGGAGCCCTTGTGCTCTGCAGGGAGGGTGGGAGGTGCCAGGTCTGGCCCATCAGGGCTGGGCCCTTGCTCGAGTCAGTGAGCATCTGGGTGTGCACACTGCCCTGGCCAGCTGCTCAGGCTTCCCAGGGTGGATGCCAAGGAGGGAAGTTGGAGCGCCGCGGGCAGTGTTGCTGCTGGCCGCCACACTCAGCGTCCTGAGCCACTGCAGGGGCCCAACTTTCATTTGAACACCAACAACTCAGCCTTGCGTGTTGAGCCCAAGGACCAACAGCCTTGAAGTAACTGGGATTTCTAGATTATCCGCTTTTATTCTTCTTTGGACTGAAGGGAGCAGAAAAAGTTTTGCTCTCTTCAATTCACAGCATTGCAAACGCTTATTCCAAATTGAACCAAATCATCTCGCCTACTTTCCATGGCCAGAGACCCAGGGAACTGCAGTCCCAATCCAGGACATGTGCCTGTCAGAACAAGGCTTTGTTTTCAAGCACTGTCTCTGTGGTTGTTGAAAATAAACACACTTCGGGGTAAAAACGGGAGTTCATAACCCACTTGAATCAAATGTATGAAATATGATATGTCAAGAGCTTTGTAATGTTTTGAACAACCAATTAAAAAAAAAAAAAAAAAGAAAAGAAACACACATAATCCCAGTGGCTCGGGAGGCTGAGGCAGGAGGATTGCAAGTTCAAAGACAGCCTTAGTAAAAGTGAGACTCTAAGCAACTCAGTGAGACCCTATCTCTAAATAAAACACAAAAAAAGGGCTGGGAATGTGGCTCGGTGGTTGAGTACCCCTGAGTTCAATCCCTGGTACCCACACCCGCCACCAAAAAAATAAATAAAAAGAAAATAAGCATATTTGATCCAAGGGGCTCCTTCACACTAAGGGTTTAGAAATGTTGGCCAGCCTGGCCCTTGTGGAAATGGTTCATGCCCCCCTTCTCTGTAGTCTGTCCCTGAGAACACGGACATGAACACTGAGCCATGGTCTAGCGTCCTGTTCTGGAGCCTGGGCGGGCCAAGGCGAGGGCGTGGTCTGTTAGGGGACGTGCAGCTGTGCCCCAGGGCTCTCATGGAGACTTTGCTGTTAACTAGCCACATGACCCTGGAACAGTCACTGTCCCTCTTTGGATCTTTCACTCTCTGCACATTGGGGAAAACTGCCCCCCCCCCCCCCCCCCCGCTGTCAGTCACACAGAGGCACCAGGGGATCTAGGAGAGGGCAGAGGAGAAGGCTCTGGGGGAGGCACATCTTTCAACTCAGATGTGCCTGAGGCTGGGGGCAGGAGGGGCACAAGATGTTGGTGGCTTTGCCGACCCCCCATGTTCCTGGTCTCTTTTCAGAGTGTGGGACTGCCCCCAACGCCATGACCATTTTGCTGGCCGTGGTCGGCAGCATCCTCCTGATTGGGATTGCACTCCTGGCCATCTGGAAGCTGCTTGTCACCATCCATGACCGCAGAGAATTTGCCAAGTTCCAAAGTGAACGCTCCAGGGCACGCTATGAGATGGTAAGCAGAGGGGACGGGGGCGCAGAAGAGCCTTCCAGACTAGTGGCATGTCTGAGCTCAGCCGTGTGTTAGCAAGAGTGGTGCCCTGGCATCTTTAGCATTAAAAATAAAGAAGTGACACCCACAGGGCTATGCCCAGTCTAGACAATGACAGTGCGTGACTGTAGCACAGAGGGCCTCTCTGCACAGAGTCCTGCCCCAGGCCCAGGCTGGGAGTGCTATGGGGCAGGGTCACCTGGCACAGCTCAAGCAGAAAGAGTCCACACAGCTCAGAGACAGTGGGCACATGGAAGAGCAGCTCAAGCAAGTTGCTATGGTCTGTTAGGAAATTCTTCTGAGGAAGCCTCGTCTCCCCAGGCAGACTGCAGGTTTGTGAAGGCCTGAGCACACGGGAAGCCCCCACTGAATCCCAGGAGAGAGTGTCTGTCACAATTGGAAAGGGCTTTCAGAGACTCTATGACCCAATGCCTCATTTCAGAGACAAAGAGTAAAAGTTCAGAGAAGGCAAGGGACTCTCCCAGGGATACAGAGCAAGTCAGAAGCAGAGCCAGCCCTAGAGCACAGATGGTGGCCCCCCAGCTGCATGCTCTGCCTGCCCCCTTCCTGGCGACTGACCATGAGGGGAAGGGCATCTAGTTTGTTGTTTTACATGGGAGAACTAACACAAATCCTCTTACCGTCACACCCTGCAGGCTTCAAACCCCCTCTACAGAAAGCCCATCTCCACTCACACTGTGGATTTTACCTTCAACAAGTTCAACAAATCCTACAATGGCACCGTGGACTGACAGCGCCCCCTCCCAGAGAGGTACAGAGGGACTAACAAAAAAGACTGCCAGGCCTGGACAGCTGCTCACGTGATCACGGCTCCCTAGATAGGCAAGCACAGAGAAGCCCTTCCGGCCAGCCTGGGCAAGGAGCCCACCACCTGCCCAGGAGGGCGCCTGGCCATGCCACCTGGCTGCTGGGCCAGAGCCACGCAAGGCCACCTCCCCTCCAAGCCTGGAAAAACAAGAGGACTTGGCGCTCCTGGCTTTCTCCGCCATGTCCAGCGTCTTGTCCTGATGAACTGCTGGGATGCTGGGCTGCTTCTGCCTCCCTCGCTGGCCAGAGAGAAGGCTACCGGGAAGGGCCAGAGTGTGCAAAGCCAACCTGTGGCCTGAATTTTTTTCCCGTTGGTCATTTTTATATGTAATAAAAAGATCATGCATTTATGGAGTAGTTCTGAGGGCTGGGAATCCTCCGCCTGGTGTCGTGCCCTGCACATGGGTGTTGGTGATGGATTGTTAGGTGCCTGTTGAAGGTACATAGTTTGCGAACGTCTGTTTTCCTCTCCTGTCCGTGTTTGTTTAGTACTTTTGTAATGAAATGGAAAAAGGTTGTCTGCAATTGAAAGTAAAAATTCAAACAAAATGCGCTGGTGTCTGCCTGATGCGCTCTGACATGTGTGTTCCTTAATGAATGGTCTTGACTGCTGCCCCAGTGACAGGGACCCTAGCCAGCCTGATACTCCAGAGCAGGCTCCTCAGAGAGGGCTCCCTGAGGTCAGAAAAGTCAGGGCAGCTCAAGGGAGCTCTGAGCAAGTGCCTTTGGCCCCTCCCAGGTTTTTCTCAGAGTTGTAGACATGAAAACCACCACGCAGGCATGAAACTCACCCCCCACCCCCCGTTCTGTCCTGTTCTGTTCTAAGGTGCTGAAACTGGAAATAGAAGGTACAGATGACAAAGGGTCAAGCTATGCCTTCCTCCCAAAACTACCTCTTATATATCATCCTCAGTGACATTTCCCCCACCCAGCTCCTATGTTCCGCCCAGACCCCAAACACAAAACTCATTTCCACTTTTGTTTCCCGTAGAGTCCTAAAGGCCCCTCAGATTCCGTCAGAGATGGACGGGACCCCAGAGGTCTTCTGATCCTATAGCCTTACTTACAGAAGAAGAAGCCGATTCACAGAGAAGGCGAGTGTCTTGCCCAAGTGTCAGGCTAACTGTGACAATCTGGCACTAAGACCCCTGGCTCAACATCATCCAGAGTGGCAGCCTCTGATGCCTGCTCTTCCCTCCACAAACCTCTTCACTGATCATTTTTGCTGTTTGTGTCACTTCAAGGCTACTATGCCTTCGTTCCTAATTCATCTGTTCTCCATCTTGGAAATTCCCCTGACTTTATTTTACCAAGGCTAAGACAAATGCCTGTCAGCAAATAGGGCTGATTACATGGAGCAAAAAGAACAGATTCCTTTTTTATTGTACATCATAATTACGCATAAGAGTGGAATTCATTATGCCATATTCACATGCACATTACGTAATTTGATCAATCTCATTCCCCAGTAGTTTTTCTTTCCCTTCCATCCTGCCTCCCCCATCTGATTGCTCCACTCTACTGATTGATCTCCCTTCCATTAATGTTTTAATGATTACATTACAATTATACAAGTGAGATTCATTGTATCATGTTCGGACGTAGCATAGTTTGGGAGATTTCATTCCCCAGGACTTCCCTATGACCTCCCCTCCTCCCTCCTCCAACCTCTTCCCCTATTAGTTTCCTTCCTATTTTCATGAGATCCCTTTTCAATTCCTTTGTCTTCTTCTTCTTTTCTTCTCCCACATGTGAAAGAAAACATTTGACCCTTGACTGAGTCTGGCTTATTTCACTCAGCATGATGTTCCATTCATTTACTAGCAAATGACATCATTTCTTATTTGTGGCTGAGTAAAACTCTATTGTATATCTATACACCACGTTTTCTTTCTTTTTAAAAATATTTTATTTATTTCTATTCTTTATTCATCTGTTGAGGGACACCTAAGCTGGTTCCATAACTTGACTATTGTGAATTGTGTTACTGTGGACACTGAGACGCATAGATCACTATAGTATGCTGATTTTAGATCTTTGGAATCAAATGAGCTGGATGGCTGGGTCATATGGTAGTTTCTTGCCTCATCTTTTGAGGAATCTACCACTGTTTTCCAAAGTAGCTATACTAATTTGCAGTCCTACCAACAGTCTATGAATGTACCTTTTCTCCCACATCCTCACCAGCAATTATTGTTATTTACATTCTTGATGATTGTCATTCTAACTGGAGATGAAATCAGTGTAGTTTTGATATGCATTTCCGTGATTGCTAAGGATGTTGAATAATTTTTCATATATTTGTTGGCCACTTATATTTCTTCTTTTGAGAAATGTCTATTCTTTTGCTCATTTATTGATTGGTTATTTGTGGGGGGGGGGGGTTGGCATTAAGTTTTTCAAGTTCTACTTATACTCTGGATATTAATCCCTGTTGGAAGAGTAGGTGACATAGATTTTCAGCTCTCTCTTCACTCTTAATCATTCCCTTGGCTGTGTAGAAGCTTTATAATTTGATGGCATCCGATTTAGTGATTCCCAAAAGAACATATTCTTACTTTCCTTGCTCTTGAGAACTTGAGGAAGCTGCCTTAAGTGCTGTTCAGTAAAAAGATAAATGTAATGAAAATATACAACAGATAGATAAAATGGTAACTTTGAGGCTTTCTACATTGAAAAAGATGATCTTTTAAAAAAAAAATTTAGTTGTAGTTGGACACAATACCTTTATTACTTTTTATTTATTTTTATGTGGTGCTGAGGATAGAACCCAGGGCCTCACACATACTAGGCAAGTTCTCTACCACTGAGCCACAACCCCAGCCCAAGATAGATGATCTTTTAAGCAGCTTTGGGGCATCTCCCACTTGGTTGTGGATTTCCTGGAGATAAAACATTAACTTGTTCAAAGTCCCATTTTCTATAGGCAGCTCTGTGTGTGCACAACATTCTGGAGCCACATACCCTATGGCAGCTCCCTCTGTATTAGAAGGTCAGATAACTGACCCCTGGTTTCTACCTGATATGGAATTTTGGATGTTTCATCCCAACACCAGGAAAGATGTGTGGATGGGACCTACTACCCACAGTGCCCTGCTGCCCCCTGCTGGAAGCTCTCTGTTTGGACCCCTGACTTTTGAGATTCTAATCAGTACCACTACGTTTCACTTTTTTTGAGGGAAGAGGGGAGTGCTGTGTGTGGTACTAGGGATGGAATTTAGGGCTTCACACATGCCAGGCAAGTGCTCTCCCACTGAGCTACATCCCCAGCCCTCATTTCTTAAGGTTATAAAGAGAGCTAATTGCAAAGACCATCCATTCCAAATGACTCATTTTACAACCCAACCCTAGATCTGTAGTTTTATAATTTTTAGAGATATTTATCAAAATGTAACTTTAGGCCTGGTATAATGGCACATACTGTAATCTCAGCAATTTAGGAGGCTGAGACAAGACAATCACAAGTTCAAGGCCAGCCTCAGCAACTTAGCAAGGCCCTAAGCAACTTAGACACAGCCTCAAAATAAAAAGATCTGGGGATATAGCACAGTGATAAAGCACCCTGGGTTCCAATCCCCCGTACAAAAAAAAAAGTATCTTTCTTTAGCAGTTATTTGGCCAGTCTCCCTGCCATAACAACACAAGATGATGGAGCTCCTCACAGTGGGCTGCAGGGCTCTCCCCAGCGGGGGACTGACACTGCCCTTCCTATTTGTTTCTGAACTATGGAGACACACAGATTGGAGGGAGCCTTCTATTGCAGAGGGAGCTGCCATTGTGCCACATGACCCTGAAGGACCACCTGGCAGTCTCAGAAAAAAAAAAAAAAAACATTTTTCTAGTGTCTGAAAAGATTAAAAAGCACTACATTTACTACATATTTCCAAATGGTAATTTTATTGATTGATTTTTATTGATTGATTTGAACAACTTGCTTTTTTTTTTTTCTTTTTTTTTTTTTGCTACCAGGGATTGAACCCAAGGCTACTTGAGCACTGAGCCACATCCCCAGCCCTTTTTGTTTTTTATTTTGAGACAAGGTCTCACTGAGTTGCTTACAGCATAGCTAAGTTGCTGAGGCTGGCTTTGAACCTGATCCTCCTGCTTCAGCCTCTCAAGGCACTGGGATTACAGGTGTGCATCACCACACCTGGCAACTTACTGAATTTTTCTAATAATAAAATTCTAGATGGAAAAATAGCAAACAGAGAAAATCATAAAATAAAAATATTTCAGAATCACACCCCCCAGGGGTAACTACTCTTGACCTTAGCTATAATTTCAATCTTTAGTATTAAAGTCTTGGTCTCTAGCTCGGCATTATTGGGAGCTGGTGGCAACTTTAAAAGTTGGAGCCTACTGTGAGGACTCCCAGTCATTGGGGGGTGCACCCTGAAGGACCCCAGCTCTTCTGCTCTCTCTTTCCTTCTAGCCATGAGGCGAGCGCTGTCCCACCACACACTCCTGCCGTGATCTGCTGCCTCACTGCAGGCCCAAAGCAATGGGCCAATCGGTCACGCACTGACACCCCCAAAACCATGAGCCCAAATAAACTTTCTCACTTATTGAGTACCTTGGGTATTTGTTAGAGTAGTGGAAAGCTGACTAACACAACCGTTTTTTGTAGATGGCTTTTCAGTCTTTTTTCTATACGCAAACTTGTCATTTTTTACCCAATTGGGACTATACTGTCAGTCTTTTGAAAAGGACAGGGAATTGTCATTCTGCTTGGTTAAACAGTACTTCATCAAACCAAAGTACCCAATAGCACCTCTTCTGGAGAAGAAATGGACTTTTAAAATTTGCTTCATTGGGATCAAAGTTCAAGGTGGTTACCAAGAACTTGTTCATATTTCAGGTGGACAGAGAGGGAGGCCAGGCCTCTCTCTGTGGGAGTGCTCTGCACTTTTAACTGAGTAGCTGTTCTTGGAAAACTTCCAGCACATGTGGCTCTTACCTGCTCCTGGGACAGCCTCATACACTCTGCTGCTGTTCTGGACTGAATTGTCCCTCAAATTCATACATGAAGCTTTAACCCCGGATGTGATGGTATCTTGAGGTAGGACCTTTAAAGAAGGAATTGAGGTTAAATGAGGCCATAAGATGGCGCCTCATTCCAACACAACTGGTGTGTTTATGGGAGGAGGAGGCGCCAGGGATGCAGAGGAAAGACCCCGCTAGGACACAGTGAGGGGGCGGCTGTCTGCAGCAGCGAGGTCTCAGGAGAAATCCTACGTGCTGCTGCCTGATCTTGGACATCCAGCCTCCCGAACTATAAGGAATGAATTCCCATTGTAAGACATCAGGCCATGGTAAGTGGTGAGGGCACCTGAGCAGACTGAAACTGAGCCAGCTGCAGTGGCACTTTGTGATGGCTGAGGGAGCAGGAAAGAGGAGCTCTGGGCAGTGCTGGCCATGATCTGAGGAAGCTGGGCTCCTATGAGGGGCAGCCACCATACTACAGAGGCAGATGACACAGATGTGCCCCGAGCAGTCCACCACCTGGCACCTGCAGCCAGTTGTAAGCACTCAGAGTGGCCTGTCA